CTTCTCAGTAATATTGCTCGAAGGGGGCAAATCGAAGGATGTCGAGCAATGGTAGAGATCAATATTTCGAATAAGTTGTGAGCGTAGCATAGCCTTCTGAATCTGTCTTATTCCGCCAACAATGCCGGGCCTTTCAGCAAATGAAAGTCCTGTGTCAGTCCGAGGAATAGACTTTTTCTCAATTGATGACAAAATTCATTTCAAATTCAATTTTTTTTTCTGGAAGGATTGCACTTCTGTTTCATATTTGAGGTCTACGAAATGGCGAGACGTGGATTTCTAGTAAATAATGCTTGCAATGATGCGCTGGTCTATTGTTTTGCAGTAAGAGGACATCATGCAAAGGCTGATTCACTTGCGGAGGTTTGATCATCGAGCAATAATATTGTGCTTTGACCGTTATCTGCTCAGCGTAATCGTTTAGCATTTTAGCAGGCATTGGGCAAATACGGCGCAGACGCCGTTTCGAGCGCTCAAGGAGCGTGCGCAAAAGCTGCTGCGGCTCGTGCAGGATTTAAACCGCTTGAGGAAGGTTAGTCAATACAGTTGTTTATCAGTTTTCTTACTACTCTTTAGCTTTATCTTTCATCTTTAGGATGAATTAATGAAAACAGAAGGAATAAATCATGCATAGGTGAAAAATTTTGTGACGTCCGTAGTAATCCGCAGCGGAACTGAGTTTGCGCACAAGACAGCTCTATTGCAATAGTCCATAGAAAGTTGAAGATTAAAAAAATAAGGTGTTAAGTACATCAGAGTCCTATCAAATAAATGCGTATTTGGCCCCAATAGATTGCGAGGGCCCACCGAAGTGCAAATCATTCTTTCTGCGAAATCTGATGAAGTTTTGAAGATGACTTACTTTTGGCTTCCTTTGTTAGATTCTGAACAACCAAATGAGACACCCTAGTCAGACACTTCAACAATGTCAAATGCCCATTGTTCCTTACCCTGCAGGTCGAATGCTTTTTCGCAGTCTCACCCGTACTCAATGTTTTTAGAATTAATACACATGCATGGCACATTTTTCGATCAGGTTTTGCGACGAGCAGTCATGGGAACACAACGAAAGCTCATACTGTCCTCTGCTGACGTGTTGGAGACAATTTGGCTGTTAGCGGAGAAGAGCCGTGATGGAGATGGGTCGGAATACGTCAACCTAACTGAGCAAGTGAGTGCTTTCTCAAACCGTTCTCCTAATACAATAGGTCTCATATAGTTCTCGGTCGATTATATGAGTTCTAATGCGTACAGGTAGTTATGGTGGATTACGGTCATCAAGTGTACGGTTGAGCGCGTGT